GATACCATGGGGCTGGGCAATGGGGAAGTCACTCAGGTTCTTAGCTAGGCCAACTTCAATAGTGTGGCTTGTGACTAGTCAGCTGGTAGGACATTGAGGGTATGAATTGTGCCTTAGAAAATAAGAATGGCGAGTGTGGAAGGGTCTTTTCAGAAGGTTGTCTGGAAGGGAGGGAAAGGGATAGGATAGACCATAAATAGGACTGTAGAAGCAAGGAATAGCTTTTGTTTTTTAATTATGTTTCAAGATGGAAACCACTGGAGCCTGTCTATATGTGGAAGAGAAACATCCCAAAGAGAGTCGTGGCTTCAACCACTCTGGCAGGTAAGGAGCAGGTATGACAACAGAAGCTGGAGCTATGGCAGTGAGCAAGGCTAAATCTCTGCCTCAAGGAGCTTATGTTCCAGTGAAAAGAGGAGGAGAACACACAAATAAATCAATACCTACCATGACAATGAGGACGAGTGCTGAGAACAGGGACAGGAGAGGGGTGTTCAGCTGTGCCGGTGACCACAGAGGGCCACTGAAGTGATGTTTTCCCAGAAGCTATGGAAAGAGAGGAAGTGAGTGAGCCTCGAAGAGCTTTCTAGGTGGAAGGAATGTCAAAGCCCAAAGCCGAGAAGACAGAGTGTCCCTTTGCTTTTTTTAGGGGGTAAGATCTGAGGATGGAACTCAGGACTTCACACGTTCTAGCAAGTGCTCTACCACTGAGCCATATCCCCAGCTCTGTTGTTGGTGTGTTTAAAGACCTGCAAGAAGGCTGGTGTGGCTGGAGGAAAGAGCAAGGGAAAAGTGTTCAGAGGGCCTGAGAGTTAGACAGGAGCCAGTTTACAGACTGCTGTGAGGAGTTTAACTTAAAAAAAGAAAGGAAAAGAAAAATACAAATTAAAGTAAGTAAAGCTGGGCTTGGTGCTATAGGCTTGTAAGCCCAGCGCTCTCTGAGGCTGAGACAAGAGGATTTCAAGTTCTAGCCCAGCCTAGGCAACTTAGTGACTTTACAAGACATTATTTCTAAATGTTTAAATTTTAACTAAATTAAAAAGGACTGAGGGCCTGGGGATTTAGCTCACTACCTTGCAAGCACAAGGGTCTGAGTTCAATTCCCAGTACCCCCAAAAAAAGGAGTGGGGTGGGGAATGTAATTGAGTGTGAAAGCTCAAGTTTCTTTCCTTGCATCACACACACACATGCACACACAAAAGCAATATGATTAATCACTTGTTGTTACTAATCCAGGAGTATTGTTGTCCAGTGGACAAGGGGAAATGTGGAAGGGGTGGAAAATCTTCAGAGAAGAGAAAGGAGCGGTATGGCAGGTCATTGTATATGGTGAGGAGGAGACTGTCAGAGGGCTGTTGCCTTGTGGCCTTTTCTTTTTCCAGTGATACATGCATGGGTTATAAGGAACTAGTGACCATGAGGGAAAGGCTCCAGACAGAGATCTTGGAAGATCAGCCCTGTGTGGGACTGGGGCAGCAAGGAGGGCCCAACCTTGAGGATGCTGGGTGTGCCAGGGCCTTAACCCAATGGGCTGAGACTTCACCACATCACCCAGCAGCCAGATATGCAGCACAGGCAGCCAAGGGAGGAATGCAGGGGAGTCGAGGAACATGTGAGAATGACCGGACCAGGGACCCTCGAGGACTGACTGGGAGGGAGAGAGATGATACATCGGGGGAACTCCATGGTAGGATGTCAGATAGCAAGGCCCTACCTCAAAGCAAAAAAGAAGAAAATGACTGGAGATATGGCTCAGTGAGAAAATCCTGGGTTCAATCCCCAGTGCCATTAAAAAATAAATAAAAAGTGTTATCATCATGTATGCCTAAAATGTACCAATACATGTTTTGCTATTAAAAACTAAATAGGGCCAGAGATTTAGCTCAGTGGCATCGCACCTGCTTTGCAAGTGCAAAGTCCTGAGTTCAATCCCCAGTGCCAAAAAATAAATAACCAACCAAACAAAAACAAATAAATAAAACAGATATAGTATATGAGCAATCTCCTCCCCATCCCCAATACATTATCAAAAATGGCACCTAATAACCTACAATGATTTAGGCAAATTTTCTAAAAATCCTAAGGGTGCAAATTATCTAGTCTTCTCTCCATATTTCCAAGTTTATTTAGATATTTTATTTTACTTTTTTAACCTTATTGTTCATTTCGCAAATGGGTTTAGAGAAAGGAATTTGTCTTTGTAAACTCCAAATCCTACCTCTTTGAAGGCATCAGCCTTTAAAAGGTTAGAAGAATTTTTGTATTCATCATTGCATTCAATTTCCCCACTTTCTCTGTAAGAAAGCAATATATGGGGCCTTCCAAATAGCTCGCTGAATTTTCCTTGGGTAGAAATTTCTTGTCTCCAACAGCATTTAGTTTACTCCTTGTGTCCAAGACCCATGCAATGGTTTTGAAAGTGTCCCCTGAAGTCTCATGAGCTAAAAGCCTGGTCCTCAGCTCCTGGGAGACGGCAGAACCTTTGGGAGGTGAGGGCTGATGGGAGGAAGTTAGGTCGCTGGGGGGATGTTGGGACACAGGTATTCTCTTGTCTCTTCATATCCTAGATGCTGTGAGGTAAACAGCCCTCGTCCACCATCCATCCCCACCATTATGTGCTTATGCCACCAACCACAGGCCCAAAGAATCCAGGCCAAAAAACCACAGACTGAAACTCTGAAAATATGAGCCAAAATAAATCCTTCTAATGAGTTGATTTGTCTCAGGTATTTGTCACAGCAATAAAAATCTAACACAATTCCTCGGGGCATGAGAGATGAGGTTAACCCCCTCTTCTAACCCAGAGCCCAGCACACAGCATTGGGGAAATAGTGGGAAACAGAGGGGAGCCATGCTGGTCTCCAGATTCTGTTCTTTCTCAGCGAAGAGGCTCTGTTTTCAACTGAACACAAGATCGTTCTAAATGTCATCACTCTACACCCCATCTGGGCTCCTGAAAACAAGCTTCTGGGCTTCTGAATCAGATGGCATCACCTACTACAAAGCCTCCTGCACAACTTGGCTCGCAGCAGGGTTGCAGCTCAGTAGGACAGGCTCACCTGTCTCCCCTGGCAAAGTTGCCCCCACGGTTATGGGCAGCTGAGAAAGGAAGAGGATAAAGAAGCAGCCACAAGAGCCACTTCATCTCTGAATCTCCAACAAACAGTTAAATACTAATGTGCTCATTTATGGACTTGAGTATTTTCCTCACATGAAGCGTCTCATGAAGTATTGCCATTTTCACGGGACTCCTAGAAGGGACAGAGGAAGTGTGTATAGCGATGTATGTTGTCTACAGGCCAAGATGGGCTTCTTCACAGCTACAACCCAGATTTTCTGATGGCATTTTATGACAGACAGGAGGAAGAGCTCGCCCGGAGCCAAGGCTAAGCAAAGATGTGGAGGGGTTGAAGGGACAGGAGTCTATAGATGAAAAAATAGAGTAAGGGCCTCCTTAGGTCTTCTAGTTATTCCTGACTACAAGGAGTGAAGATCAAACTTTACTAGAGAGATTCCCCTGGGAAGCAAGTCAAAGACAGGGTTAGAAAAAGAGAAAAACCAGATGAAGAAAGGCACCAAACAGTCTTGGAACTTGCACGGAGAGAACAGAATAAAGAGCTGACAGGCTGGACACAGAGAAAAAGCTAAGTCCACAAACAGTAAGCTGTCCTTACCTCCAATAAAATACAGGGAAAGCAAGTGGGGGAGGGGCTGACTAACCTTAAGACAATATAAACTCACTTCTATGTACCAGCATATACACATATATACATGAGTATTCACTCCAGAGTCACTACTATGTTATTCACTCTAGGGTCATTATAGGGTGCAACAGATATCCACACACTCGCTTACTAACTCTAAGCTACCCAAGAATAAAGCACTCCCTTGCCAACTAGCTGCCCTCCTCAAAGATAAGGCCTTGAAGGTATGTCAAGGACAGGTAAATGGAAAATAAGGAACTGCATATAGACCACCAGAAAAAAATGACATTAGGCAGAAGTGCCCAGAAGCCAATCCAGGTGGAGAGAGAAAGGTCACTCACGTCCCCATAAAAGCAGCTGGGAACAAAGGGCCCAGGGCTCCGCCTTCTTTCTGGAGCCCCCTACCCTGACTCCTCCTTATCAGAGTAGCTATCTATCTTCTCCTTTCCTCTCCCTTCCTTTTCCTCTTTACAAAGAAAATGTCTTCCTTTTGTTAAATTTCGTGGCTCTAATTTTTTGTTGGGGCTGAGTTTATGATCCCAGTGGGCTGCTTGGACAGCAGAGCAGCAGTGTGTGTCCCCCAGATGTGACAGCTTTGGTTCCCTGACCAGGAGCCAGATGTGACAGGGTCAGGCAGAGAGCTGTCTTGACAAACGTCCAGGTCCCTCCAGGATGTGACTGCATTCCTGTTGGCCTCACAGAGCCTCCTTCCAGGAATGAGTCACTGCAGGCAAAGGCAGTAGAGACCTGAATGGGACTTTAAGGGAAGGAAGACTTTACGATTATAAATAAATAACCCATTAATGGGAGAAGGGAAGGTCTTCAAAAGTCCAATTGCCACACAAACTTGTGAATTTAGTGGTATTTGTGGAAATGTATATGCAAAGGTTTTCAAAACACAGACTTTTAGTCCATCTACTGTTCCCGTGGAGGGAAGGGAAGCCATGTGAAATTCGTCCGCTGCTGGCCAAACGTGAGTTTTCACAACCTGAAATGATTCTTGAACCCATGGCTGGCTACATGATAACATCTGCCAGTGTTTTCAACCATGGTGTTGTGCCATGTAAAGCTTTCATGCTGCTAGCAAAAAAAGACCTTCATTTAAAAAACGACCTTCAACCCTTAAAAACATAGAATAATATCTGTACATGATAGAGCTGTACATCTACCTATATGTATGTGTGCTTTATAAAACAGAAATAAACATTTGGTCTTCCACTTACATGAGTGATTAGAGATGGAAGTTTATTAAACATTGACAATGTGCCAGGTACTTTGCCAACTTTTCTTCCTGTTCCACCCTTACAACCCTGGGAGGTTGAGACTGGTACCGCTACCATCTCTTAAATTAAGGAAATGAGGCTCTGAGAGTTTAAACCCCTTGCATTCCGACATAAAGATAGCAAGTGGCAAGTCTAATGCTCTGCTTCCTCCTGCTGCATTTGCTTTGCCTCTTCAAGTTCCAACAGACACTTTTGTTACCCTTCCCAGTCACATCTGTAAGAGAAGATACATGGCTCTTTCTGGTAGAGTAGACGTATGATTCATGCTAAGACATTTCCAGAACAGAGAAGAGCTCTTGATAAGTACAGAAACAACAGAGGTCTCACTCGTATTTAGGCATTTCCAGCAGATATAGGACAAGAGTATGATCTCATCATTAATTCATGTCTCATGCATGTGGAATGGATGTCCTTCGGAATCACATTTAAGGAAATTTAAAGGTACTTAAGTTGCATTCCAAGCACACAAACTATAGGACACCTGTTTCCCACCTTCTTTCTTTTTTTTGTACGGGGGATCAAACTCAGGAGCTTGCACTTGCCAGGCAGGTGCAGAGCCACTCAGCTAAATCCCCTGCCCTGTCCCACCGTTTTTGCCCACAATTTCCTTCTGTATTCCTCAGACAACAGTCTCAATGGAGACTGTATTGCCACTGTCTTCCTGGCGCCTGGGCTGCATCTCATCTTTGAAAGCCCTGGTGAGGACTACTTTTAAGGACTCCTTGAACCGCTTTTTCTTGCTGCTGCCCACAAAGAAGTAAATAAAAGGGTTGGCACTGCTGTTAAGCGTGGAGAAGAGCAGAGAGATGTTATGCAGGGTCCCGAATGTGGACCAGTACTCATAGTACAGCAGGTAGAGGAGCCTCATGGGCATGGCAAAGATGAGGAAGATGATGATGGTGACTGTGATGACGATGTACAGCTTTGAGGAGTGGGCAGTCCATGTGTTCTTTCGGATCTTCACCACCAAGATAGTGCTGGACACCAGCATGAGGGGGGTAAAGACCAGGAAGCTGAGGACAGCTATGAAGAGGATGACTGCCCGGCAGTCACTCCGAGAATGGCTGTCTTCCTCACTGTCAATGCACATGATGTACTCCATGGTGGTCACCAGGCAGGAAAGGGCCCACAGGAGGGCACAGACAAATGCTGACTGGTGCTTGGGGCGGTGGCATCGGTACCAGATGGGGTAGAGGACGGACAGGCACCTCTCTACACTAATGGCTGTCAGCAGGTAGAGGCCTGTGTTGTAGCCAAACAGAAAGGTCACCGACAGAGTGACCATTGTGTAATAATGGCCAGAAGAGAGTTCATAATCTAAAGCATAGTCAATAGACAGAATAAAGATACAGAAGAGTAATGAGATGTCAGCAATAGACAAGTGGGTAATGTAGACAGTGAAGGGGTTTCTTCTCATCCGGAAGCAGAGGAACCACAGCAGAATCCCATTTTCCACAAAGCCCAGTGGGGAGATGCTCATAATGACCCAGTGCACGACCGGGATGTGTGGCGCTGCATTCCCGACTGAGGAATTCCTGCTGGTCGAGGCATTCTGGGACTCCCGGTCCACAAACGCTGTGCCGTTTGACTCATCCATTCAGCGACCTTGGGCTGGCACTCTTCCGGTGGTTTTCTGTAAATAGTCAAACCAACAAGCATAACCGTGAAAACTGGTAAATGGACATAAAAGGGAGTATTTTTTAGCTGTGGATCATAAAGTTCAAGTTATTTTTTACGGATTTAATAGGTCATACAATTATCTTTCCCTTAGAAATAAAATTAGACCTTCCACCAAGAAGGGCATTGATTTTGTGACACTTTTTAGGTCCCCAGTAGCTTTTCATTCTGTAGTATTATTTCCTTTTGGCTCAGCTCCAAAAATGATACAGCAAAGTACGAGGACCAGGATCCTTCGTATCCATTTCCAGTTCTGCCCAAGCTTTCCCAGTCTTGTTTTGAAAATTCCTTTCATCTTCTGGGCCCTGATTTCCTTGTCTAACAGACCAGGTAAGGAAGATGGCTGCATTAAAATTCAATGACAAAACACGTGTTTGGGAAAATTTGTCATCATTTGTAAAAGAGTACTATGTGCTAAGGTAAATAAGAGGCATGCCTAGAAAAATATTTCACCTGGGCTAGCCTTGAACTCCTGGGTTAAAGAAGTCCTCCTGTCTCAGCCTCCCAAGCAGCCAGAGCTACAGTTACACACCATCACACTCAACTTGTGCTGATATTTTTAAAAGTGTGAATGGTGAACAGTTTATTTGTTCTCTGCATCTGCAATCATGCGGGGCACCTACTCAGATTCTATATACCATGCAAAGCAGCACTCTGTGACCAAGAGTGAGCCTTGACAGGATGCACTTAAGCCCCATGTTGCACAAGCTGCAGCATGCCTAAAAATGATTGACAGGCACTACACAGCACAAACCCAAAACCACCCAGAATGCTGCAGATTGGAAGCTGCAAGGCAAATGCTATCAGAAGCATTCTTTAAACCGGGCATGGTGGCACACTCCTGTAATCCCAGCACTTGGGAGGCTGAGGCAGGAGGATGGCTGTGAGTTCAAGACCAACCTGAGCGACATAGTGAGTTCCAGGTCAGTCGCAACTACACAGTGAGACTCTGTCTCAAAAACCCAAAAAACAAACAAACAAAAAAAGAAGCATTCTTTACTTTTCCACTTCTAACTGATACACACACAGCCACCAATTGCCTACTATAAAGAAACATCATATATACATCATAACCCACACTGCATCACTGGAGAAAAGGAAAAGGGGCAGTGAGCAGAGACCATTTCCTTTGTTCCAACTCTAACTTTCTGTCCTTGGTTTTTATATGGATCACATTCATTGTGGGGAATTGGTACATACTAACTTTTTATTTGTTCTTTTCTTTTTTAGCCTTTAATTCTTTGTCTTTGCACACCAGAACTCCTATATGTGCAAACTAATTACCTTTAAGAAGTTCATAAAAATATATTAGATACTTATATTTATAAAATATAGATGTAGTAGCTGGGCATGGTGGTGCACACCTATAATCCCAGCACTCGGGAGGCTAAGGCAGGAGGATCGCTGTGAGTTCAAGACCAGCCTGGGCTACATAGTGAGTTCCAGGGCAGTCTCAACTACATAGTGAGACCCTGTCTCAAAAAAACAACAAAAAATACATAATGGCTGTATTATATTCATATATACAAATATATTTACTTGCACACATTATTGACATACTATATTTATATAAATATTTCTAGATATCTGCCTTCTCCTCACAAGCTCACCTGAAGTAGAATAGCAGATCACTTGCTATTTTGTGGCACCTGAATGTACTGGATGACATTAGACATCCCTCACATTGAGTCATCAGAACTCCAGGAAGCACAGGGTTTTAATCTCAGCACAGCTATGCGTGGATCCTGGACTACAGATGGATCTTCTGGTTGTTGAAAAGGGTGATTATCTCCTCATTGCATGATCCAGGTGTCAGGAGATATCTGTCTGTACTGTCCTGATAATGCCTCTCCACTAGTACTTCCCTCTGCCACTCTGACAGGACACAGGAAACTGCTTCCCATGGGATAGGGTCTCCTTTCATTAATTAGAGAACACAGACACCAGTAACCCCAGGAACCAGAGCAAAGACCAAGATTCACAATGCTACACCAGAGTCTGCTATAGATACCAGGTATTGGTACAAGTTTGTTGATAAATCAGCCATGCTTTCCAAATTCACCCATCCAACATTTATTTAGCACTAGGCTTATTCTGGGCACCAGGACAGAGCAGCGTATGAAAAGACCAAGTGCCAGCTTCTTGGAGTTTAAATTCTAGTAAGGAAGCAACTAATAGCAAACAAACACTGGCAAAAAAAAAAATCTGTGCAGAACGCAATAACTGCTATAGGGGAAAATAAAGCAGAGCTGAAAAGACAGAGGGTGGTGGGGACATGGGGTATCTATTTTACATGGTGTGATGGGAACAATCTCATTGATAAGGTTACATCTGGGCAAAGACTTGAAGTAAGGGGGCAACAGCACTCCAGGCCGTGGGAACAGCAAGTTTAATCAGGAAGGAACAGAATCAGACACACATGCAGACAGGTTGCTGGGGCCATATCCAACAGGGCTTGTTGGCTGTTCTAAGGATTCTGCCCTTACTCTCCGTGAGAAGGGAAACTAAGCCACCAGAAAGTTCTGAGAGAAAGGGTGATATGAATGACATGACAGGGCTCACCATAGCCTTTATATTCCGATTAGACTAGAGAGGCACACCACCTGGGAAGAGGGAAGCCAGGCGGGGGCTTCTACATTAGTCCAGCCAGAGAGACGTCAGTGATTTGGACCCGGGTGGGGCCTGGGTGCAATTTGATCTGCTGAGGAATGAGGTACATGCCAAGGGAGAACAAGAGAGAGAAATGTTTAAACATTTGCTGAACGGAGCTGGTACAGAGGAGCAGTAGGATGAGGCATTTGGAGTTTGGGAGCCTGTAAGATAGCCAGGAGGGACTTCCTGTGGTGTGTCAGGAGCTGGGAGAACAGACATAGGCTGTGGGTGTTGTATGCACACGTGAAACTTAAAATCACAAGGCCAGATAAATTACCAAAAAATAAGGGTAATTTAAAAGGGGAAGAAGCCTTGGGGCATTGCAAAACCTAGAGATTGGAGAGATGAGAAGCAGCCAACTGAAAGTGTCCATATGTTCCACTGAAAGTTCAAGTGAGATAAGAAGTAGACTCGCGGATGGGGACTGGGTCATTAGTGACCTCAGTCAGACAGCCTCCTGGGTTGTGGGTTGAGGGGAATCTGATACTGATAGGAATCACCAGTAGAAAGGAAATAATCAGAGATTCAGGAACGCGGGTGTTGAGAGCCTTGACTAGCAGTATCATCAGTTCCTGTGAGTAGCTGGGATTGCAGGGTCAGAAGGGGCTCTTCTGAATACACAGACTTTTTTTCAGCAAAGCAAAGAGCAAGGCCACCAGCTAAGAGTGAGGGAGTGTTGAGGGGCTTAAAGAGAGAGGGTGGCAGAATGGAGCAACAGAAAGCAGTAGGAAATATGCCAAAGCAGTAGGAAATATGCAAGGAGTGGGATCACCAGGCAAACCTTGAAGCCCGCGCAGGCCAGTGCTCAGGCGGCAACTCAGCCAGTCTGTGCTTTGCTCCAGGTGTGGCTCAGTTGTCCAGTTGCCAGGTGGAAGAGGAGGAGTAGAGTCGGAGTTAGCCAGGGCTGGGGTTTTCCCAGGCTCCTGCAACACAGGGTGGGGCTTCAGGAATGGAAGTGCGTGGAAGGCAATGGCTATGGTGGTGCTCCATGGAATACTAGGGGAAAAGAGAAGAGTGACAGCAAGAGAAGGGTGACAGACAGTGAACAGGAGGTGGGGCTATGCACGGCAGCCCTGGTGCTGTCAGGGGCTTGTTGAAGTCCGTGTGCTGAAGGTTTTGAAGGGGAAATAGGAGGAGAGGCTCGAGAGTGGACTCTTAAAACAGAGACTGGGTGGTGGAGTTCTGGGATTATTGTATGGTTATTTGTACAGATGACCGTGCATGTGAGTGACTTGGGGTGGGTGGGTGGGAGCAAGGTCACTGGGGCTGAACCACAGGACCTGGAACCAGGACACTGGAAGAGTTATCAGCAGTGACCTTGAAGTCACCGAGAAATAGTATTGCAGGACAGGAATGTCATGTGCAAAAATGGCTAACGCTGTGAAGGACTTTACAGCACAAAGCAGGAGTCCATGGGCCCTGACAGTGAGTGAGCGGCGTGTGCATCAGCACTGGGCATTCCTATGCCGTGGCATCTGTGAGACAGAGACAAGTGGTTGGGGAAGGAGGGCCTGATCGTCACCATCCACTGGAAATGGAAACACGTGTGCAATCAAAGTTTTCTAGTAACTATGCTAAAAAAGCAAAATATGAAATTAATATTCATAATCTATTTTATTTAACCAAATGAGTTAAAAAATATTCCATCACGTAACCAATGTGAAAAACATTGTCAAGGTATTGTGTGTCCTTTTTTTAAAGATCTGTTAATTTACTGGTACACTTTAGGTATACAGTATGATGACCTTCATCATAGGGAATTTGTACCTGTACATGGAATATCTTGGTTCTTATTTTTCCCCATTCTCCTGCCCTCCCTCTAACCCCTCCACCCCTCCCTATTTATAAAGAATTTGTTTCCATTTTTTCCTTTTCTCATATTTTTCCCTTTTCCTTCTTTCCTTTCCCCTCTCCTTCCCACTTCTCCTTCTCCTTTGGACCTTTTCTTCTTATTTCACATTATCTACTATACATTTTGATCTGCATTTACACTTTCAGTTTCTCACACATTGTCTCCCACACCCAGTGTGTGTTTTAATGCAACTCACTCCAGATGAGCCACTTTTCATGTAACTCATAGCTACTGTGATGGACAACACAGGTTGGAGCCATCACAAAACTGAAACCTTTTAATAGCAAATGTAAATCAAAGACTAGAGATGTAAGACCAAGAATTCTTAAGAAAACTGACAAGATCATGTAAAGGTACAAGATCCCAATAATGAATGTAACTGTACTGTATACATAAAATGTACCAATAAACTCAATAAAAAAATAGAAAAAACTCAATAGAAAAAAAAAAAG